GGTTGAATCTGCTATATTGCTTTTTATATAAAACATATAATCTTATTAATTATTTGTATACACGGATTCTAGTTACTTTATATATATATATATATATATATATATATATATATATATATATATATATAATTTCATTATAATTGCAACAGTAATCAATGCTACATATGTACGCCGCAGTTCAAAATTTTCGGGGAGAATTCAAAATAGTTTGAGATCACACCTTGCTTAACATCCGATTCCAAGCCGAGCCGAGCTAAGCTGAGCCATTATGCATAGATTTATAAGCGCTTTTATAATAAAATTATGCTCGCTTTATTTATATAGTATATAAATTCTTTATAAACGCAACAGTCGTAATCAGTGCTACATATGTGCGCAAAGTTTTCTGGGAGAATTCCAAATAGTTTAAGACCACACCTTGCTTAACATCCAATTCCAAGCCGAGTCGAGCCAAGCTGAGCCAACATGCATAGAGTTATAAGCGCTTTTATATTAAAATTTTGCTCGCTTTATATAGACTATATAGTATATAAATTCATTATAAACGCAACAGTAATCAGTGCTACATATGTGCGCACGCAGTTCAAATTTTTCTGCAAGAATTCCAAATAGTTTGAGACAACACCTTGCTTAACATCCAATTCCAAGCCAGCCGAGCCAAGCTGAGCTAATATGCATAGATTTATAAGCGCTTTTATATTAAAATTTTGCTCGCTTTGTATATATAGTATATAAATTCATTATAAACGCAACAGTAATCAGTGCTACATATGTGGGCACGCAGTTCAAATTTATAATTTATTATAAATTTTATTTGATGTTTTTTAATTAGTCAGGTCACAATCATCATCATCATCGATATCGCAATGAAATCAAATTGAGAATTTTTTATATTAAAAAAAGTATCTTTATTTATTTTATGATACTATTTTGTTCAATAAGATACTGTTTGATGCATATAACTAGAATAAATATAACGGCCTTCGCTCACTTTCAACGGTTGAACAAGGAGCTTACTTCTGGAGGGGAGATGGAGGGTGAGGTTCGAGTCAAAAGTTACGATAGTATATTTACTAATTACGGAATATTGCTTTTATTTAAAATGTTAAAATTTTTTTTTTTTAAATTGTTATTCAATATGGTAATTAATTACTTTTATTTGGTATAAATTTAAACAAATAAAATCGACATTACCGAAAATAATTAAAAGTTGCAAAATTGAGATTCTTTGCCTATCCCTGCTTCAAACCATAAGAAAGTGTTGTTTAATGGTAAATAGGCCTCCTCTTGTATCCATGCGTTCAACTTTAAAATTCTATTTACCTTTTTTTACTTTTCTTTGGTAGGTTAGTTAGTTATAAGCAAAGTAGCCGTCGTCTGCTGGGTTTTTTGTCGTCTGTTGTTTCCGAGCAGGTACGTCGTTAATGGTCAATCAATTCCAGGTTTGGGAAGTTTTGAATAAATATAAAATAATTAAAAGAAAAAGTCGAAACATGAGTTTAAATTGCAATAAAAACACCAATGATTTAGTTGCCTCATCGTCATCAGAATATATCCCTGATATGCCCGATATAACAAGGTTGTTATATTAAAATTAAATCAAATTTAAATAGTCGTTACGTTTTCTTTAGTTTTTTACGTTGCTGGTTATTACACGGTTACATTTCATTTTTATAATTATAATAATTCTATGAAAAAATTTACTGACCTCCAACCTTAAAAAAAGCTAAAGAAGTTCATTTATCCCCTTATCGTCGTTTTTTAGTGGTTGAACTGTTAGAAAATGTTTCGTTTGTTGCTCCAATCAATCAGGACTGTATTTTGTATTGTGATCTTAAAAACTCTTTAAAATTAAATTAAAGACTTGGTGCTTTGGTAAAACATCTGTTAGTGTTGCTAAGTCTCAAACAACCATCTGTAGAAATAGAACACTTATTATGCTAGAAGGTGAATAAAGCAAGAAAATTATTAGAATATAATGCTATTAATCCAGTACATGAAAGAATATATCACATCAGTATATCTATCTATATCAGTTTTGAATGATGCCTTAGACTTAGAGATAGATATCAATGTTATTTACTGTTCTATTTAAACTAAGCTACAAAATAAGGTTGGGAAAAACATGGGCAGTGGATAGTTGAGGTGGCATTTTGAGAGGGCTTTTTTCCAAGTTTTTTGGACTAAAAAAAAAACATAATATTTTGAAGATTTTAATTAGGATTTTTGAACAAAAATAAAAATTAGATAGCTATTTTTGTCCTCTTAATGCATAATCTTTTAATAAAACTTGCTCATAACAATTGTTGAGTTATAGTTATTAATTAAAATTAAGTTAAGAAAACAAACAAACTGTTTGTATAAAATTTTAGAAAAATTAAGGTTCTTTTAAAAACCCTAAACGAAAGTATATAAATTTCATTCCATTAATATAAATTTCAAAATTCACTACCAACGTCACATTTTATAGTTTCTATGTGACTGCAAATATTCTGGGTTTACAGATTTTGTTGTATGTGTGTGTATATTTGTGTAATGTAGATCATTTAATTCAAGTATGTCAGGGTCATTGTAAAAATTTATCCTTAACTTGTTTTTTTTATGGCAACATGGATAAATATCATTTTGCATGGGACATTTAAAAAGTACTTTTCATATTTAATTTTTTCTGACTTTTTTTTCAAATTTTTCCAAATTTTGATATCAATTTTTGATACACAAAGTTATACGTTTTTTCACAATCCTATTCCATAGTCCTAATTTTGAATTAATTTTGTTGTTTCAGTAGCTTTAGTGAATGCAACAAAATCAAAAAATTTCTAAATTCACGTTGTGTAATTATTTATTTAGCTTTCTCTATAAAGGGAGGGAACCTATTAATTTTACTGATATTTCCACAGGTTTGACTAATTCAAATATGATATCAATTAAAATTATACATAAAAATAAAACTTTATTTTTAAATTTTATTAAATTCCATATTTGTGTGATATACTTTTGTTATACCGTGATGCCACAAACACACACACATATATGAATATGTAAATACCTACTACAAAGCACCCTAAAAACGAATTTTATGTTGACAGATTCGGAGGAGATTACTTTAAATGATGAGATAAATGTAGTTGTGAATATACTGAATGAGAAAATTTCTTTATTTGATCAGTGCCTCCAAGAGTATGGGGATATGCATAGATGTGATAGTATTTCTGAATGCTGTAAGCAGTTTGGTATGAAATATTTTGGAGAAACGAGCAACTGTTCACCTAAAAATCTATCATCTAATGATCCTATGAATGAAGATGAAAAGGAATCATATTCACATATTCTTTCTAACCATGGTTTGTATAAAGCATTTTAAATGAGAAATGTAAATCAATAAAAATTGCAAATAATTTTTTGCATTTAGATAGTCATTTTAAGAATGAAAGAAGTAGCCACAACAAGTTGTGTACTGATCTTCTTGGAAAATCAAATTCTCTAAATGTTACTCATGACAAATTTTATGGTATTGAAACTACGCTTGATCAAATGGATGTAGGATTAAGAAATGATTCTGTAAAAGATAATCATCTAGTAAATGTTTATTCAAAAGATCTGATTTCATCTGTTGGAACATCAAATCAATTGATTAATAATAGTGATGACGATGCAAACCACTCAAATTCTAACGTTTTTCAGCCAGTTACTTCAGCCAGTTTGGTCGATTCCTCTATAGTTAAGTCTCTTTCTGATGATAATTCAGCTGTTTTCGATGTACCTTATAACGAAGAAATGATACAAGCCTCTGACAACCCTATCAGCGATGGCAGAAGTAAAAATATTATTGACAACAGGCTATCCCACCAAGGCTGCCAAATTGATAAGTGTGATCACAATTACTTCTCTTCAGCTGAATTAACAATGACAGTTGGAAATGATGCAGATCCCCATCATTGTATGCTACATAATTCTGTGGAACCAGAGAAAAAAAATCACGTTTGTGATGATGTATATAAGTATGCTCATGATAAACATTCTGATGGTAATAGCATTGAACTTTTTAATGTTGCTTGTCATGAAGTCTGCAATCCTAATATGATCAATGATTATAATGTTGATAATAGTGAAAAGATTCTTAAGAATAGCTATATTTTCCACCGTGGCGATTCTGTTAATTGTAGTTACGTGATTGGTGATAAAACTAACGGTGTTACTAATGAAAATGTTATTTTAAATAAGGCTATTAATGATAATGGCGTATGTCATAATGCTGGTAAAGGTGTTGAAACTCTTGATAATTCATTTGCTAAAGATGAGATGAAAAGTAGCGTTGCCAATAATTGTGTAACTGATGATCTTAGAAAGTGTAATGATGAGTCAGAGCAATCCATCTCGAAAATGATTTCTACTGTAACATCTAATGATGGATGGTTGTCAGCTATTCGTTTTCCTAGAGATAATAATTTGACAAAAACACAAGTTGGTAGGACAAATAAGGTGATCTGTAACAAAACTTCTGAAGGTATGATGTCTCAAAGAAATAGTTCTAACGCAAATTTCAGTAATGTTTCTGAATGCGATAGTATTATTGAAAATAATGTGAATATAACATCTAAAAATATGTGTAATAATAAAAATTTCGAAAAAACTAAAAATGCTGATGAGAGTATCTCTATTGTGAGCTGTCACATTGTTAACAAAAAAATTAAGCTGTCTCCTGACACGGCACACAATCAAAATGTTTTGAGAAGCTTACAACCAGAATGTCCGAATGAGAAGAAATTACAAATGTCTTATTCTGATAAGATCAAATCTTTGCTAAATCAATGCGATGATGGAGTTAATGGCAATTATCAGAAAGAAAATTTGTTTGTTGAAAATATTATGTACCAGCCTGCATCAGACAATGATATTACTCCCAACAGGCATGCACCACAAAAAGCTAACAAATCTTTTCCGGATGAATCAATAAAGCAAAAACCTAAAATGGCACCCAACTATAAAATAGTTAAACAGCAAGGTACTTTAATTTTTTTTTTCTTTATCTTCAATATATTTCTACAAAATTTATGTTCAATGTGCCTTAATTAACAACCAACAAAATTATAGTTGTTGTTATAATAACGACAGAGTAATAGAATGTGATAGTCATGCAAATAGAGAGAAAAATAGTGACTTAACGAAGATTACAAAATGATAAAATTTAGACAATATATATTTGTCATTATGTAGAAATAAAGTTTAGAAGTATCGAGCAGTTGATTCTTTTGAAAGTCATTGAACCAGGTGCTAATGTTCTATCTATCCAGCGTGAAGTTTGTAATATTATTTTATTGAAACATTTTTACTTTAACATATTTTTGTTTTTGAAAATTAAAACCTTTAATCTTCTTAAAGATATAAACATTTTGCTTTTGTAATGCATTCTTATACACTTATTAACTTTTAACAGTTTTTTTAAGACATTTTTTACGAGTTTTATAAATTTTCAATTAAAAAAGAAAGTAAATCATTTGGCGAGCATTCTGCCTGATGGTTTAATATTGGAAGATAAAAGTGGAAGAGTACACAACAGCTTGATTTCCTGGTATCGATTCATCACTAATAGCAAACAATCTAAAATCGCAATGAACCAATTGATGGAGGTACATTTATTTGTTTTTGTTAGCCACAATGTTTTTTCAATTAGTTTATTTCTTCATTTCTTGCTAGATTTTCAATGATTAATTGCTATGTTTGACGTGAAAAATTGTAACAATTGCTTTGTTAATTTTGTTTTATTTTAATTTTGGTATGTAAGAAATAATTGAACAAATGTTAATTTGGAAAGATATTAAGCATTTTAACTCTTGAAATGATTTGAACTTGTGAAGGATAAGCAAAGTTGTTGTAGATTTTGAAGATAAAATGAGTTTCACCAGGCTGGAGATTGTATTAAATAGAAACATATCAATAGATTAAAAGTCAGTTATAATGATTACTATCTTGTATTGTTTGCGTCAATAAATACCATACCATCAAATCAATGATTCAGAAACGTTTTAAAATAGTTGAAGTTGTCACATCCCAGATCAAACATAAAAACTGAACAACTAACAGTAAATATTTCAAACTGATTAAGATTTGTTGGTTAATCTTTGAATGGCGTGGGAGCATGAGCACCTTTTAAAATCCTGTTTTCATTTTATAATATATTTGTAACGTTTTTTTCACATCAAATATTTTATGATGTTAACTCATTATCATCAAGGTGAAATATGACGGCAAACCACTTGCACTGAGACTAAAAGAAGCTAATTATAGAAGATCAGGTAATTTTTGTATATGGTGCATGGGTACGTAAGGATGATTAGAATTTGTTTAATTTTCTACAGAGCCATGCGCACAAACAATGGCGGATCAGTTAGTTATATCATATCTTTCATTATTATTTTTATTCCCATGTGCTGTCTTTTTTGAGCTTGTTAAATTTTTCATATAACAGTTAATTCCTTTTTATACTTTAGTTTTGCTGAAAATAAATTTGTTTAAATTGTAAACAAAACATTCGGATGTACATTATTAATTTAATTTTGTAATACAATTCACAATATTATTTACTATTTATCTTATTTATAATGATCCAACCAAAGGGATTTCAAATCGTCATTTATGAAGATAGTTGAACCGCGAAACTGTCAAGAAATAACAAATATCGTTCACAATGACGCGAGTGAGAGATGCAAAATGGGTATCAAAGAAAATCCTTCTTTGCTCGTTAACAAGAGAAATAAAAAGACGGACCAATGGGAAGTAAAGCCAAAAATAAACTTCCAAATGATTCGATTGGTTTTAAATGAACATTTATTTCCATACAATCCGCGTGAATGGAACGATGTGCAAGCCGACTCTGATGATGTTCGTTCACTCATGGAATGGAAATAATTAAGTGCTTAATTTTTTTAAATTTTCAAAACAAAGATTGAATATTTAACAACAATATCGTTCCTAATTTGTAATTAATTACTTGAAGTTGTTGATTAAAATTGTTTTCTGAAATTGACTCTTTCTGACTTATAGGTCAATAATTTACAGTGAATTTTTTTTAAACCGGTTTAAATATCTATATCGAAATTTTTTCAAGACAAATTAATGAAAATAAAACTGATTTAGTAGGCCAATTCTATTCTCATTAACAATAATTATTCCATTATTAACTCCGCGATTAGCGTTGAAGTGTTTATGACGCAGGCTCAGGACATCATTGCTCTGTTGAGACCTGGCCTACCACGAACCATCATGTTAGGCTGCATTGTTATGTGCCACTATTTTCATATCGACGCGTTTTTGAGGCAGCGCCAAGTTGTAAATTATTAAAGCACAGCCAAAGCTTATACGTAGAATTAACACCCAAACAAATATTTCAATGTCATTAAGCTTAATTTGAATAAATTTTTCACTCACTAGGGTAAATTTTTTGTGGTTTTTAAAAATTTCAAAAATGGATTTTACGGTACAATAGGCTATAATTTTAGACGTTTTGTGGTGTTTTTAAAGTTGTTTCGGGATGACAACGTTCGGTGGTTAGATTTAATGAAAAGGTGGTTATAAAAACACCAAAGTCTAAAACCAGTATTTGATACTTAAATCGATCTTTAGATACATTCGTTATGCCTTAAACTAATGAGTAAGGAAAATAACGAGCCTTGGTGACGCTTGGCTCCCAGGTTCTAATCCTGGAAGAATTTCTCTTCGGGTAAAGGTCGCCCTCTGGTGCCGAACCTACTTTGTTCCGTGCCTCTGTTGCGTGATCTGCCCTTTATTTCATAAACTGCGAACATGAGTGTGATTGCGTTGAGCTGTGCCGTATGGTCTTGGAGTGTGCATTTTTGTTGGAAGACAATGTGTGCATTCATATGCAATCAAGATGGAACTTTAAAATTTAATATGCCTGGATTCTCCAATGATCAGATCATGGTGTTTTATGCTAGCACTAACCACTTGTAATGTCAGCCGTTGTGAGTAAGGGAAAGAACTTCGGAAATTATCGAACATTTGAAGGTATTTATAATTGAAGTTCTCGACGTTTATGTACGATTCAAGTTTCCATCTGCCAATACCGGAAAGCGGACTGACCAACGTGTTGTGACTGTCAGTTACCTGCAATCCGTTTAGAACCCTAAGAATAATAGACAACTGTGACTGTCAAATTACCTATATAAAAAAAATTAAAATGGCATGCAGCTTCTGTTCTGTACACATGTGTCACTGACATATTAAAAGTAGAATCCATGGATATAAATATATATATATCCATGGTAGAATCACGTGCGTAGAGTACAGAGTACAGCACACCAATGCAAAATGGTTTTCCCATTTTACTCTCGCATACTTAAGCTTTTATGGCATTAATGAACAACCAACTGAAAACATTTTTATTACAATTTGAATTTGATATTTGTTGAATTTTTGAATATGTAGGTCGACATGATTTTATTTAATCATTTATTCTAAGTATTCGATTACATATACTTTTAATCATTACTTAATTATTACTTTTTAATTTTATTTATGTAGGTGGGAGGAGTTATTTTTATTTAATCATTTATTCTAAGTATTCGATTACATATACTTTTAATCATTACTTAATTATTACTTTTTAATTTTATTTATGTAGGTGGGAGGAGTTATTTTTGTTTATTTTATTTCCTGGTTTTCCCATAGTTGTAGGTGTTGTCAATTTTGTATACATAGGAAACAATGGATAATTTGGGTATTGGGTTTAAATATGCTACTGGTTCAGAAAATCAAGATGGCAAAAACACTGCGATTTCCGACCAACAGGAAAATATTAAAATTGAAATGGCTTCGAGTCGATATGAACAGTATGAATCCTATTACCCTGATTACGGTTTTCATCCACCATTTATTCAGGAAAATAATTGGCTGACACCAGATCAGGCCGCTTGGTCGTTTTGCCTTCCTATAATTGGACGAGTTAGAATAGTAAAAGATCCGTTAGGGTTGTCTTGTTTAATGGCAGTCATAATTTATTGGGTCTACAATGTAACTTTAGTTTCTTCAGTGATTCTTCTACCAAATTATCAACATGGCCAGTTACCTTTGATTGCATTGTTAAGTAGGGACATTTATCAAATTTATATAAATTGTAATTGTATGCATGTAGTATATCATATGTATGCTCTAAGTACAGGCATAATTATAGAAGTGCAATCAACAAAGTAAAATTGTTTCAATCATCAAAACATTTTGCATTATTTCTCAGTATTGGAGTAGGAATATGTACAAAAGTCTAAAAGTAATTAACAAACCATATTACTAACTCCAATCATAAGCACATGGCTTATTGATATTATTTTTCCAAAAATTCAGTTTTTTACAAAATAAACTAACATATTTTCTCTTGAAATTAAGTTTATTGGTCACTGGCACTATTATGTCTGGCAAGTCTTTTACGAGCATGCACAATGAACCCAGGTGCTTTGAATGTCGAAGACACTCCACAAGGTTAAATTATTTAATTAAATTAAAGGATGAATAATTTGGTTTTTGTTTAATTAAAGTTTTAATTTTTTTGAAGCAAAAATATGTATAGTACATATCTTGTTGCTTCATTTACTCTGCTTTTGCATTACTATCTTGACATAAATTATTTGTTCATTCAATTTCAAGTTTCAAGCTATAAAATTAAAACATATTAAATTAGCTAAAATGTCACAAAAAATATATGTGGTTAGTTGTTAGTAGCAAATTGTTAATGTTAATAGCTTATGAAAAAGCATTAATTTAGTTTCCAACTATGTTACATTATGAATAACTATATAAACACTTGAAAATATGAATATTGTATGTACAAAAATTGTATTCACATGAGTTATTTTGTTTGGTAGATAATTTTAAAATGTTTTTTATGGTGAGTCTTATGTTCATCTATCATCTATAAGTTATTTCATCTGCTACTATAGAACGTCATTTCACTCTTTATCAAATTGATATTATATTTTCTAGACGATTGGATGTTGTGTTTGAAGTGCAATCAAGCAAGGCCACCTCGAAGTCATCATTGCAGGAGATGTGGTCAGTGTGTCAGGAAGATGGACCATCATTGTCCATGGTCATTCATTTGGTTCATTATTTCGTTATCAATCTCCATGGTCATATCATCAGTGTTCTTGGTCATTCATTTATTTTATAATTCTTCCTTGTGGTCATTCATTTTGTTTGATTTCTTTACTTTACCATCATCACCAACCCTTGTTTGAGAGAAGATATTGATGATATTTCTTAAAGCCACTTGTGTTAAACAGAATTAATCTGTAATTTTAATGATTCTTTTTTTGCAACATGCAATATGTAATTTACAAGGATTGAGAATGCTAATCATCGGTGACCAGAATTGGCTCAGGTTTAAAAGTCTAAATTGGTAGGATGACACATTTAAACTGGCTGGTTAACAATTTCATGGTTGAATTCGGAGAAAACAAATCACGTTAACTATGTAAAAATGTTATGGAAGGAAGAATTGCTTAATAATAGTTATAATAAAAAAAGAATAAGATATTGATTATACACACAACACTGCTTGACTCAAAAATAGAATTCATTTTCTATCTTTAAATCAAAATTTACGTTATAATTGATATATAATTTTATTATGATTCTTAGATTTTGTACAAGTTTATTCTTTTCTAAATCAGTATTTTTTTGCCACGTTAACAGCTGATATTTAAAATTAAAATGGATAGTTGCTAGATGGAGATGTGCGCATGTGACAACCAAGTGTTGGACCAGATTTTTTGGTTGTGGGTTAGGTAGGATTCTTGAGTAGTCTTTGAAAACTTTTGACTCAAATTTGTCAAAATCCGAATCATACCTATATTGAAACAAAACTTCATTTATTGCTAATGCATTATTATCATTATTATTATTATAATGCCAGTAGTTTGTCTTGATCAGGTCTTTATTATATGCTACATATTTGTTGTATAAGTTTTACATGCATATATCAACAAATATTGTATATATTTTTCGTTGTTTTCTTAGTGTATGTGCTATAAGTAATTGCTTGTGTCTAGTTCTAATTAATTGGATATCTGAGAAAAAACTTTATACAGTGTAAATATGAAAAACGTGTATGACTGTTAAAACATTTTGGTAGGTGAATTGTTGACTGAAATACAAACGCTTCAGGATAAACAATTGCGTCGGTGAAGATAATCAGTTTGCATTCATGTTGCTGGTCATGTATGCCGCCTTGCTCTCCGTGTACACCTTCGTCTTGGACATCCTGGTCATCTTCCTCTACTTACCCTGCTTCGAATGTGATAGTGTTAGTTAATTTATCGCGATGGTGTTCATGGTAGTTAGGACGATGGTGATAAAGTTTTGTAATGTAATTTTTATTTTGTATTTTTCACCCTCTTTTATTTTTCATCATCACAATTTTTAGAACCTCCGACTTGTTTATTTTTTTTACCAAAATCATCTGATTCTTCATTTTACAGATTCAGTTTTTTAATTGCAGCTACTAATGGTTTGATATTATATATATAATATTATTATTATATATATAATATTATAGTTGACGATGTTGTTAACAAATCTTAAAACGTCTAGTGCCTAAACTTTAACACTTTCATTAATAATTTTTTTTGTAAAAGTTTTATCATTTTCTGATGAATTTTTCTAAGTTTTTGCATGCGGTTGTTATAATATAGCTTATTACACTTAGAATCAACGTTCTTCTCTGAATAATTACATTTTAGGGTTTTCTAACCTCTCAAAATCTCATCAACAAATGGTTTCTTTTCAAATTGTGAACTTGAATCTTAATTTTTTCGACAGTTTTTACAATTTTTATCATATGTTGTAAAATCATGCACATAATATTACACAACAACTTTATTCTGGTTGTTTGTAACATTCAGGTGCAAATGTTTGGTCTAAGGACAATAACACTGGTCCTCATCTCACTAATCATGGCGTTGCTGATGACGTGTGCTGGTTTTGGTCTTTATTGTACTCAGCATTTCAGCCTCTTATTGGTATGTTTCTTGCAGATTATTTTGATTTGCCTTTACGATTGATGCGTTTTGACAATATTAATTAGTTTTTTTTATTTAATAATAAATTTTTTGGAAGTTAGGATTAACGCGAACTAACTTGATTGGTTTAATGATCGACAACTGAATATTTTCAGAGCATCCCGTCCATGGAATGGAATCGAATGCAAATGGTTTTTCTCAAAACAGGAAAACTTCCACATATGTGGTTTGTTTGATTTGTTAACAATTGGTTGACACATTAGCTCAGGCAATAGAGAGCCGCATACAGTGGCGGATCTAAGAGGGCAGGGAGAGCCCCCTCCGTTGTGAACAGATTTTTAATAATCAGAAAAAAGACCGTTTTATGTGTAAAATCGACCAAAAATTAAACGTGATAAGCAGAAAAGGTCGTCAGCCACATTACCACAAATCTTGGTCCCCCCGTGAAAATTTAAACATTTTCAAATTTTTGGCACCTCTCCCAAGTTGTCTAGATCCGCCACTGGGTGCACCTAACGCTTTGAGGGCATAGTTAAGATGCATTGCATTCACCTGTATATAAATGAGTATCCACGTCAAGTGTATGAAGTGGACAAGCAAGCCTTCGTGCCAATAGACGGATGAGCAAATTGAAATTAATTGGGACTGAGTATGGAAAATAAACGATTGTCCAATTTGTTGATTGTATTTTAATATGCTGTTGATAGGTGTGGTAATATTAATAAGTCATATATCGAATCAATTCAACAAGCATCATTCAAATACTTGACCATTTGACCGATATACAGTTAAAATAATGTAGTTTGATGTTTAATAAATTCTTGATAACTTTTTCATTTTAAATTAATGTTCATTCATTTGGTTGATTGTTATCATTGTGATTAATGATTGATGACAGGCCCATACAGGTCCAAAGTATCAAAACTGTTTACAAATCAACCTGTGGTACAAACCCTGTCTGCTGGGCCTTCCCCTGTCGCAGAAGAAAAAGTTACTCCAACATCACCTCTCGCTACAGTCCTGTTTAATGTTTTTTATATTCTTTTCTTAATTGTTTTGAAAATATTTTCACGAGCCTTTTTTAAAAAAATTGTTAATATATTTTTTTGACCATTTGTTATTTAAAATTTGGAAATGTAATGAATGTTATGAGTAAATTAATTTTATAGGATGAAATTTTATTCAGTTTTACGAAAATTACGTTACTTGAAGTCTATTTTGCTATGCAATAGTGCTTTATAATCAGTGTAATGAACCTTATAATGTAATACAACACACATTTATGAACGAAAGCAGCAATAAATATTCAAGCTTTTTTAAAATCATATTTAAAGATTTGTAATTATAACGATTATGGTTTATTAGTTTTTTCAAAATGAATAAAAAAATACTGCCAAATAGTCAGTTTAAATAGCCTGGCAGCAAGTTGTCTAACTAAATGATTCTTATTTTGTGAACCTGGATTACACACACCACACACACACACACACACACACACACACACACACACACACACACACACACACACACATTTCCAAAGTTATATCAGAATATCAGAATTACCTAAATTGCTGTAATCAGGCGTCGTCGTTATTGCGTGCTGTCCTATTCTTTGTGCTTTTTTTGGCATGAAGTTTCTACTGCAACTATATAAGAACGTATTCCATATCAAATTGTGCTTCATTTTTTACCCGTCAACCCAAACTGCTTGGCTTTGAAGAGCTCTTTTCAATACATGCCTGACAAACATGTGCATAGTGCTCGTATACAAAGTCAAGAACATCTACCGGAATAAGGTCTTCCATCTTGATAAAGTTTTAAGTTAAAGCAATGTAAGCTGTCCAAGCACTTGTGCAAATTTTGGAAAATTGTCCTGGGATCGACCTGAATACGCTGCAGAAGATTTTATGAATATTATAAAGGCTGTACCAAAATTGCCTCCCCACCATATTGCCTGCTGAAACAATTCGCCTTTAATATCAAAATAATTTGTATTTTTAGCGTTAAAGCATTCGTCATTTATGAGCAGCACCTAATGATCATCATTTAAAGTTTTTAACTCGTAAATTATTGTTTTTTTTTTTTTTATAAAGAATGCAAATTTTGAAACTATTTGAATTATTTGACAATCAATTGCATTCGTTTTGAATTCAAGACAAATTTTATTGTTTTATCCATTGTATTTTTATTTTGACTGAAACCCAACACATACAACTAAATGGAAAATATGTTTTATAAAATATATTATTGAATGATTTCATGGCTCAGTGAACGTAACACATTGTTTTCTGGAGTTTATTAGATTTATTATTCTTCACGGCTTATCATACATGATAAGGACATTTGTGTAGTAAGATGTATTTTTCTATTGTGTCTTTCTGAGTTACACTCGCCATATGAAGAACATTCATAAATAGAACGAGAGAAAGAGAGAGAGAGAAAGACTAAAGAGAGAGAGAGAGAGAGAAAGATAGAAACTTGTAATAAATTATACAATGAAATAGATTAAATAATATATATATATATATACATATATATTAATATATATATATATATATATTAAATATTTATTTATTCCATATCTATCATATATGTATATATTATATTCTAAATATGATTAATATTATATATAAATATATATTTGTGTGTATATATATACATGGCGTTAACTGTATACAAATATATATATTTATAATTAGATACATGACAAATACTTATAGTATTAATACCATGCTTACAAACGTTTATTCCGTGCATGAATAAGACACTTAACACAGATATGGTATTATAACATGCAGTTTAGGTTTTTTATTTAAAATTGTCAGCGGTACGTATGCCTGCACCTTGAGTTCTCAGGCTGGTTGCTATTAGTTCCTAACCTTAGAAGGTGCTGTGAAGATGGCAGAAAAGGCTGGAGACGTGTCTGCGGTGAATTGCAAGGAAGGTGCACTGACCAGCAAACATGGACACCAGTTGTTTTGTAAATATTGGAAATCGAAGGCAAATGACAAGCCAAAGTAAGAATTTTAATCTCTAAAATGTTTACCCCGTCAACAATAAAATTATTAGGTTTTCGCGTAAGATTGTTTAAATGTTACCATTCTGTAGTCTTTCCTCATTTAACAGCGTCTATATTCCAAATTTCAATCTAATAAGAACGTTTCAGTAGTTATTAATAATCATTTCATTACAGCATTTTCTTCGCTTCTTTATTCCGTATTTCAGAATAGGTATTTCCATTTGCATTTTAATGTTTAAATTATTTTCCTTGTTTTAAATTAGGCATTTCGTTTGTGACGTACCTATAAAAATTTTATTTTTATATGCCTGTCAAATGATTTTAGGATTTTTTTTTTATTAGTCTTTATTATTGCAGCTCTGACATACGCAGAACCACTTACAATGTTACAGATATATATAATCTATTTATCTTTATTATGTTCTTCATATCTTCAACCAATGAAATGAAGCAGCCATCTTCGCCACAAAGGCTGTTTATCCTTTTCACACGACGTACACATGATTGTACATTATTGTCTCAAATACACCACCATCTGTTTCAGTTTATCATATGTGAAAAACATCATTAATAACAACGAGCGTATCGTTTAACAAATGAGATGAATTTTTGCTTACCTGACATTGGCAAGCCCACTACTCTCATACACTTTTTAAATCTTTTATCGTTAGTTTTGATAAATTTGTATTTGAATGTTCCAATTCTTATTTCATTTTACAATAGTTTTTATTCAAAATTGTTTGTCGTCATCTATTACATGTTTTGACGATATAGTTTAAAACTGAATTCTAAATACTGAATTCATTGAGGAGTGCAGTTTAACTGCATACATACAGATTGTTTTTGTGCAGCGGTCATTTAATGTTAATGATAGCACCCCACCTATTATAGTTGATATATTATGTCATATGTGATGTTATACTATACTATATAGTTGATTATAGTTGATTACGATACAATCCAAGGCTTGATCTTCACGTCCATCTATTAGTAATATAGATTTGGAAATTTTTTGAAGTACATAGTTGAATCAACTGGCTTATGTGACTCATGCAATGTCAACTGGAGTGTTGAACTTGGGAACCACACCTTACTTTTTATATGGTTGATCATGATACAGTTGTTTATGTAGAATAAATTTGAACAATTCATATAAAAACCTTTGTTCTATAGACTTCAAAGTTGTAAAAATTTCAGCGAATCGGCGCAAATGAAAAAACGCCCAAAGCACATCTTACGGTCACTAAACCATTGAATTAAACTGTATAAAACAAATTATGAATCTTTGACTCAAAACCCTGCTTATTATTAATTTCTTTAACATTATTAGACTGATGTCGGATTGATGACGTCCTACCTCGTGGAACCGGGTCTCTGGACGCAAAACGAAGATTGATTGATTGGTTGATTGATTGATTGATGGCGGATTGTAACGAATATAGCTTATATGTTTATTTAATCAAGCTAAATTTTGTAAGTCCTTGTAACTATTAACAAGAGACTGTTTAGTCAAGGCAAAACTCAATAGATAAAAAAAATAAGATCGTTAAGTTTTTCTTTCACATTTACATTTGATGCATGTATCGTTGATTGAAACTGCTTCGTACAAACACACTCAAGTGTACTCACGCATACTCAAACACACATGCACATACATTACTAGCTTATATATTTGAATATACATTTGCTGGATATAATTTTTGCTACACATTTATGGAAGCAATTATAATTTTTTTCAGTTTGTGAATGGTTTATGACTTGTTTTGTTACGCTGCCTACAGTCGATAATAATTTTACGTTTAATTTTTTCAAAATAACATTTGTATAATTGGTTTTCACAATTATAATTTATTTATTATTATCTACTTTTTCGATCTCCAACTTTCAACATTCGAACCAGAAAGACTTGAGAGATATGTAGAATCGGGGTAGCAATACAACATGAAATGCCGATGTTTAAGGCATGCCGCTGTTAAACAGTTTACTAAAGCAGAACATTCAAAGACAGACCTGGTCAATTCTTTACATTGTTCAGCTCCTTCTCTTCTTTACTCATGACTTTCGATAATAAGGAGTCGCACCTAACGGCACCAAGCCAGTTTTCGTTTGTCCACGTTTACAGTGTTAAAGATTTTCTACTAGGGTATATGGTAGTTGAAGTATGAAAATGAAATGGTATTTGCATTTTTTGTGTGCTACTTGGCAGGCAGTTCATTTCCCGACTTTCAAACACTTCATGTTTTAGCTTTGATTTCAATTTACAATTAATTGTTTAGTTTTGTTGTTTGCTTGATGCAGCAAACGAATATTCAGATATCCAATTTATTTCCACTATATATTTCCGTTCTTTAATAATTAAACAATTTTTTCACATTTTATCATATTTAATAAAGGTTATTTTAAAAAAGAATTTATATACAACTATGAAATAATTTCATTCCAGACATTTGATCTTTATAAGCCATGGATTTGGGGAGCACTGCCAGCGTTACAATGATTTTGCCATGACCTTAGTTCAAAACAATAATTTTGTTTTTTCACACGACCATGGTAAATAGGAAACATGTTTATTACATTAATTATTTTTGTGCATATATTCCCAAAAAACAAAATTAATTAAATTCAATAACCTGTTGAATATATTTTTTTTAATTTTTAGTCAATAACTCCGCAAAATTAAATTTCGTTCAAAATTAATTTGTTGATTTCACCAGTGGGACATGGCAAAAGTGAAGGTGATCGAGTGCACGTTACTAACTTCTCTATTTACGTTGATGATGTTATAAACCATATTGAGATGGTGAAAAAGGAGCATCCTGGAATTCCATGTTTCATGTTCGGCCATTCCATGGTTAGCTGACCGATTTTTTCCCGATCATCTGATTCATTATTGTGTTATTTATAGGATTAGTTAGATAGTTTTAAACACTTCAATGCTTTTTTATTACATTTCATTCGAGTAATTCCTTTATTAGTTGAAGTCGTTTTCTTGTTTGTAGGGAGGGCTAATAACTATCCTGACCACACTCAGAGCACCTGATCTGTTCAGTGGAATAATCCTGTCTGGACCAGGTATCGTACCTAACAAGGAAGCTGCTACACCTTTCAAAGTATCCATTTTTGCTTTTGGAATCAGTTGCAACACTTAAATCAATCATTCTCTTGGATTTGTTACAACATTATGATGTAGAGTTTGTTGCAACATTATTATGTGGATAGTGCCCATTTATGACCTCAAGCTATGATAGTGCGAGTATTGAACAGACTACACCTAAACCATATGAACGAGCAGTAACAACAAATAAAACGTGGCACTCATTCTGCGCGCGCTTTACCAGTGCTTATAGTAATAATTTGCTTCTATCGCAACATTCAGATTTATTTCAATAAAAATTGACATTTATTTTATAAATACTAAATGTTTTTTAAGCTGATTGTAGAAAACTCAAAACAGGGTGAAAATTTTAAAAACCTGAAAATATCTTTTGTTGCAGATTTTTCTAGCTAAAGTTACTGCAACTCTGTTACCTCATTATGAAATTGCAACGATTAGTTCTGAAGTTATTTGCAGGAATAAAAATGTGGTAAGTTGTCAAAGTTTGTTGAAATATTTCAACCCTACTGCTTTTATTTGGATTGACTTAAAACATTTTGGATAAACGTTGCACCATAATAAATTTTAAAATATTTGTTTGTTAACCAAGTTTAACGTATCAATATTTTTTAAGGTAAAAAATTATGAAGAAGATCCCTTGGTCTGGCACGGAGGAATAAAAGCCAAGTAATTATTTGAATAATTTTTATATTTACATAGTTCTATTTATAAAGTATCATATTGCAGAATGTATTTTTTGGTTGAATTATGTAAATTTATCAAAACTTTTTATAATATATGTTATCATTAAAAGGTTTTTCATGAGAGTGTGTCAATTGGAGTTAAGCAGTTTGTTGATTGTCATATCAGTAAGAGCGTTACGACGGCTGACGTTCATGAATTTTTTTTTGTCACGTCATAAGAAAAAATATAAACATAAAAATTGTGCTAATTCATTCACGCTGCATTGAAAGTTTCTAAAAAAAATTTAATTTTTATTATATAAATGATACATTTCAGCGTAGGATTTGTTATGTAGCCGTAACTCCTTAACCATTTTCAACTAAATTATAGAGCTCTTGTTAGATTATTTAATACGCTATAGTAGAAGGATTAGTAAATTTTGATATAACTAATATAATAATTGATACTTCTTCATAGATGGTGTTGTTGCATTATGGCTGCCATGGCAGAAATTCGAAAGAGATTTAAAGAAATAAAAGTTCCATATTTGCTGTTGCACGGTTCGGCCGACCAAATATGCAGCATTGAAGGGTCGGAGATGATGCATGCAAATACCAGCAGTGAGGACAAGACTTTCAAGGTTCGTGTACAATTATTTTAGTATATCTATAAAAAATCAATCAAGCACGCGACGTAAACGCTAGACTATTATTTAAAAATCATATCACATCAGTTGGTTGTTTACCTACTGAAGAAAGGTTCAGTCGTTTCAGCAACTGCTGTGATCCAACTTTTAAATTTGTTTAACCTTAGGCTTTCAAAAAAAATCTATTTAATTTTTCAGGTAATCTGTTCACATAACGCACATTTGCACAAAATTTTTCAACGCTGATTGAGTTTTTATTATTGTATGCTGGTTCAATTTGCATCCAATAAAGTTGTCGTCATAAATTCGTTTATTATGAACAATTAGTGCAGTCATAGACTGCACTAATTCGCTCCTAAATTGAGATTTTTCCTAATACCAAAGAAACTGAAAATCACTTTGTAACTAATATTCAAGACTTATTATGTAGATATATAGAACATATCAAATGTATGTGATTAGCAAAAATATGCTAACATTTGTCAACAAACCAGATATATATAAATTATAAGTTGATCAGACGATAAAAGCGCCATGTATCACGTTGTTTTAATGCATTGAGCTGGTTCAAACTTGAATACCACCTGTCCGAAACTTGAAGGGTATCTACTGCCCGCTATGTTTATACGTCGTGTGCTACAAATATTACAGCCTTTGTGGGCGAAAATTTGGCTTTCGGTAAAGTATGAAATGTAGGAATAAGTAGCAAAAAAAATTAACTGTCTCAATCACCACATTTTATATATATGTACAAAATTACAAATTTAATATAGATATATGAAAGCTGCTATCATGAGGTCATTTGGGAGATTGATGGCCAGGGAGAGCAAGCGGTCAGTGACATCGTGGACTGGATCAACAAGAGATAGTAGTCTATATTTTACATCTAAACTTAATTATTTAAAGAGCAAAGTACTCGATATTATTTCTATTATGCATGTCTTATTTTTTCTATTAATTTTACATTTTATTTTTGACTTTCAAATGTAAAAAAAGGATATTTATTTGTAACGCCGTGCCATCTATATTTCACATTGCTTTATTTTACACTTTCTTTTTTTCTATTAATACTCAGTGTGGATTTAAGGATTTATTTATCTTTTGACGTTTTCGATTTTTACAACGAAGTTAATTTTTGATATCCATATTCATGTCGTATTTTTAGAAGAAACTGATAGAAAACGTTTATTCATACAATTTAAGATGTTAAAAAACGTATAGAATTGGAACCTAATGTTTGTTCTCGAATAAAAATATTATTACAGTTAAATCTTTCCAAATCCATTGAGAATCGAGATTTGTTTTTTTTTTAATTTTGATGCACACTTAATAAGCTCTTATTTTCACGTCGAAGAAAATTAATTTCTCGAAGCGGCGTATGTACGAGTGTAAAATATGACGAAAGAAACATACATACAACGACGATAGTAGAATGATCGGTCCACATTGTTTGACTTCTTAGCCAACGTCAGATATTTTACCTTTCAGGTTCATTCAACCTAATTGAGAAAGCCAGGTTGGCAGATGGAAAGCCAAATTTTTATTTTATAGATCAATACATTTGATACTTCTTAATACGAATTTACTGCCTGTTAATTGCATCAGTTTTGCAGGTATTTTCCCCCATATCCATTATATATTTTCCCCCATATCCATTATAGTTAAACCAAATGTGTATATTAAAAAACATTAAAAATGCTCTACTCTATTTTAAAATCGGTTGAAATTAGAAACACAAGGTCTAAGCGTAAATTATAAGCTTATTTTCTTCTAATACTTGAATACCAATAGATGAAAAAACGTCCTATTACGGGCTGATATATACAACTTGATGGGGAGCTAAAATCTGAGATTATTCGGCTTCGTTTTTTAGCTTTTCACACAATTTTGTACCAATTATTACAAAAAAACAAAACTTGGTTAACATTTCAAGAAATTACAACAAAATGGTTGTCGACTTTCGATGACCACAGCCATCAGAAAATTTAAATCACCATCGCCTACGAATCGAAACACCCAAAATGCTCATAACGAAAAAAAAAAACGCCAATTTAATAGGCCCAAAATAACGAGACAAAAAAAACATTTTTGATTTTATTTAAATACAAATTAATATACATGCTCACAAATTTATATATATTTATGAAATAAAATAATATATTAGAACTGAAAATAAAAAAATTTAAAAATCTCAAAATAAAAATCTTGATTGCTTATTTATGATCTGTTTTTTAGTTTTAGATTTTAGATCTTAACCTTTTAAGTAATCAGTGCAAAGATGGCGGGACCGGTTGAAGCTCTGGTGTGTTGCAGAGATTCTACACTGACCAGCGATCACGGACACCAATTGTTTTGTAAATTTTGGAGATCGTCGGATGACAAACCAAAGTAAGCCTTCCCAAACAGGAAGTTTAACCTTGTTAACGATGAAAAAACTGTTACTGAACAAAGCCTTTTCAATGACCGACCTATATATTATGAGCGGTGAGATCGTGAGAAAGAGAGAGAAAATCCCACTGCTTCATGTTGAAAATTTTATTGCTTCACTTGGTGTAATGTAAAGCATGCAATCTTTCTATATTATATGTGTATTATCTTGTCAACGATGTATTATTATATGACTTATGAACTGTTATATATATTATTATATAATATATTATATCATTATAGATTATATATATAATATATATTTTATATATATATTATATCTATCAATCAATCTTCGTTTAGCGTCCAAAGACCCAGTTCCTCGAGGTTGGACGTATATATATGTATATATATATATATATATCATTATTAATATAATGATATATATATGTATAATAATATTTAATAATAATAATATATAATATATATATAATATATATATAATATATATATGTGTATTGTTCGGTTGGAAATTTAAAAATATATTAGTAATTGTGGTTTATCCGTTCCACAAACGTTACGTAGTTTGAAATTAACTTCCAAATATGTAACATTCATTAGGACAAGTAGGCCTCCAAGATAAAACAGGATCTTACAATGTTACATTGAAAGATCCTGTATGATATTCATTGCTTTAAAATTAAATTAAAATGAAATGTGACCCAAGAAAGTATTTCTGCCACTTTTGTGTAATAAACTTACGTTTCAAAATACATGTGTGTAACATCCATTAGGAAGAAGACACAGGCTTCCAAGAAACTCTAATCTCAAATTTATTGTTACACATAAAAAGATAAAAATACTACATACATATGGAATTATTTGTTGTCTGGATAAAATTTAATCAGGATTGCGTTATTCGAGATTAAATTTTGAGATTACAAGAGACTAAAATAAGTAACAGGATAAACAATAAAATATATAAGCAACAAATTGTTGGCTTCAATTTTAATTCTTATTTTTTTAACACTTATTTTACATAAAAAAAACCTTTTTTACATTTATTTCCTACTTATTAAAAGCTTTACTTAAAATATATGATCTATGTTCAACAATGAATTAATTTAATCCCAGGCGTTTGATCTTCATAAGTCATGGGCTTGCTGAACACTGCCAGCGTTACGACGATTTAGCCGTGCCATTAGCTCAGCACGATAATTTTGTTTATGCACATGACCATGGTAAATATGGAGTATATATTTAGTTACATTAGTTAGCTTTGTGCCTACGTTTTTTTAAACTCAAAATTGAAAAAGCTCTATAACTTATTAGATGCTCTCTATTGTTTTGCCTCATATCAGTAATTTTGTTTCAAATTACTTCATTGATTTCACCAGTGGGACATGGCAGAAGTGAAGGTGATCGAGTGCATGTCACTGACTTCTCTATTTATGTTGATGATGTTATAAAACATATTGAGATGTTGAAAAAGGAGCATCCTGGAGTTCCATGTTTCATGTTCGGTCATTCCATGGTTAGCTGTTTGATTTTTTCCGATCATCGAATTGATCAATACATGATTGAATTTGCATAATTGTTATTAACACGTTAAGATTTGATAGCTTTGCTTTCGAATAATGTTCTTTTTTATTTGTTAATGTTTTTCATAGGGTGGATTGATTACTATTCTGACCACACTTAGAGCACCTGACCTGCTTAAGGGAATTGTTTTGTCGGGCCCAGCCATCACGCATGACAGCAATATTGTAACTCCTCTCAAAGTATTCATTTTTCATATATGATCTGTTGTAATGTTCATATTTTTTCATTTATCATTTAAGATTTGTTGCAACATTCATGATCTCCTGAAGGCTTTGATAGTTTGAGTTTTGGACGGATAACATTCGAACTATCTGATCAGCATTCGATCCGTTGAGCAGGTAATAGCAACAGCGCAAAACAGGGCAATATAAACATGCACCAACGTGCTGACTGCTGGTTTAAATTCGTTTATTAATCATTTATATTGGTTCTGTCGTTCAAATGTATTTTTTGTTTCACTTTTAACTTTTTTTACAATGGTAACATGATTTTTGTGTCAATTAAAAAGCTCATCTTTTTGCATGAATCATTGTGTTGTAGTGGACTCAAACCATGATGAGCACTTTAAAAATTATTTTGTCCCTGCAGACTTTTCTAGCTAAAGCTGTTGCTATGATATGGCCCCAGTATGAATTTGCATCAGTAGGTTCTGAAGTTATTTGTAGAGATGAAAAAGTGGTGAGTTATCAGCATGTTTTTTTTTTACAATTTTTTTATCAAGTTTAATTTGTTGAAGACATATGTCTTTTTTATCTAGAAGCGAATCTTTTTGTTAAAAATTTTGTGAATGAAAGTTGCACCAAACAACGAAATATTATTGGAAATATTTGTTAACAAAGTTCACCACATAATTCTTTAGGTATACTACTACAACGAAGATCAATTGGTCTGGCATGGTGGAATAAAAGCCAAGTAACCATTTTATTGACAGAATATTTATTTTTGTACTGTTCATTCAATGCTGTTTATAACATAGCACTTTGTGAATGTCCATTTTCGGTCTAAACCACCTAGATAGTTCTAATACTAATAATTGATGGATATTTGTCCTCAGGTGTCTTATCAATTCTTCTCATCAATTTTATTTTCAATGTACAGAGTAAGGCAGTCTGTTATTAGTTATAAAATAATAATGTGTGATTATATGCCAGCTAGTGAGTGGGGTGATAGGAATTGAAGTTATGATGAGAATTGCTAACAGTATGTTGGATGTATACCTGAGGATTGGCGACACAGTGTGTTGGTGCCGTTGTATAAGGAGATGTGAGAGATTGTGTATATGCCGTTGCGAAGGAGATGTGAGAGATTGTGGGTCATATAGGGGTGTGAAATTGCTAGAGCACGGAATGAAGGTAGTGGAGAGGGTGCTTGAGAGGAGGTTGAGAAATATGGTGACAGTTAATGAAATGCAGTGTGGGTTTATGCCTGGTAGGGGAACGGTGGATGCGTTGTTCATAGTGAGAATGTTGCAGGAGAATTATAGAAAGAAGAAACGAAGATTGTACATGTGTTTTGTGGATCTAGAAAAGGCTTTTGATCGAATACCGAGGAAGGTCATTGAATGGGCGTTGAGGAAGAAAGGAGTGAATGAGAGACTTGTTAAAGCTGTGATGCAGCTGTATGAAGGAGATCGAGATTGCGGTGGTATGGACATGTGTTGAGAAGGGATGAAAGGGTCGGGATTAGGCGAGCGTTGGAGTTCGAGGTTGAAGGAGTGGTAGGAAGGGGTCGTCCGCGATTGGGATGGAGAGAGCAGGTGGAGAAGGACAGGGTGAAAGCGGGGTTGCGTGATACTGAGGCGAGTGACAGATGTGGATGGCGTCGAGGGGTATTTCGGTTTCATCATAGGTAGCCAAACGGCAACCCCCGATTTCGGGGAAAATGTCGTCTAAACGTGTGTTGTTGTTGTTGTTGTATATGCCAGCTAGCATGTTACAACAGCCAATGTTTATTGTATTTTTGTCGTTCTTTTATAAAAAAAAACATGAAGATATAAATGTAGTCATAACGTATTCAGACTAAACAAAAATTTATAGATTTTGTATAACTTAAGTGTTACAATTTCTTTACCGAATTTTCAACTTAAAGTTTACTTTTTTATGATATGATACAACAAAAATAATCTTCCGTGTAGATGGTTCAGCTGCATTATGGCCGCCATGGAAGAAGTGCAGACGAGGTTTAGAGAAATAAAAACTCCATACTTGCTGCTGCACGGTTCTGCCGACCAGTTGTGTAGCATTGAAGGATCGAAGATGATGCATGCAAATACCAGCAGTGAAGACAAGACTTTTAAGGTCTGTGGTGTTTTTATCAGAAACATCAAAAGTCAAATACTATAACTGCTAAATAGTGAATTCAAATAAGAAGCGTAATGATTTTTTAAAAAATGAAAGTAAGACTTTATTTAGAACATCTACCTCATTACATCAGATAATTTTGTTTCTAGAGACTATCTTGCCAACATTTTTATCGTTAGTCATTTATAATGAAGTCAAATTTATGCTACAAATTAATTTTGTTCTTAAGTTTGGGTTCGGAGACAGGCGACTTTTTGTCATTGTTAAATTTGTTAAATCTATAGATATATATTACTAAGTAGTTGTATGATTAAATCATTTGACCAGTGTTTTATTTCAGTGTTTTTAATAAGCAGCGAGTATTGGTACATATACACGCGCTATTTATTGTATTAACAATTTTGCAAATTTTGAAATGAATGTAGATATATGAAGGATGCTATCATGAAGTTTTGTGGGAGATTGATGGCCAGGGAAAGCAAGCGATCAAGGATGTTGTTGACTGGATCGAAAACAGATGATCTCCATATTTCCAATCTGAAATTTATTGTTTCAAACTACTCGATATTTTTTATGTTATATAGGCTTTTATATTTTGTTTTTTACTTTATTTTTAGACTCTAGTGTAGAAAAGAAATTATTTATATTGTTGTATTAACTTGTTGCTTTATATTTTTACCTGTTTCATATTCAGACTATGAGTTTTAAATATGTTTGCTGACGTTTTTATTGCAGCTATGATATTAAATTTATTATATTGAATTTCATATCGAGTTATTGAAAAAAAAATTCCAAACGTACAGATAGAATGTCTCTTTGAAGCCTGTAAAGTTGTTAAATTATCGTTACGACTCCATGTGATTTTGATTATTGCAATTTCACTGAGAATGGGTCTTGAAATACAGTTTCAAAGAATTGCATTTTTTTAACTAGTAGGAAATTGATCTCTGGTGGTGATCTTGAAATTTTTTATAAAATATAAAGAATCATTGTGGGATGAAACCAATTTTCCATTTTCAATTAAGTCCAGTGGGTACTTAATGCTGTCTTTTGGTTCAGACTTTGAGAAAAACTTTGAACAAGTTCTTCGTTAGAATTTTTTGCAAATGCATGCATAAGTTATAATTTGTGTGGTCCACACAGAAATATTTTCACTAACATCAACTGTTTTGCCGGTAAAAACGCTTAGCTAAAAGGAACGATTAAAAGAAAGAATGATTATTAGTATTGGCACAACAATACTTAAGAATTTTGTTTTCTCCATGTCTAAAACACTGACAGGTAACACAAGCGTAACATCCATGCCATCATTTCAATGGTTATTTATTGACCTAGCATAATTTTCAATTGGTTGCAAGGTTGCCAAGGGTTAAATTTTTAGCAATCAAATAAAATTTTGTGTCGAAAATGGTAAATGAAATGAATTTGAATGCATTTAAGATTTTAAACGAAAGCAGAATGTATCCATAGCTCAGAAAACATGTCCTTATCTCGAGACACGCATCTTATATTCTGGACTTATTTTAATATACCTGCTATTTTCCATCATCATTTTGGATAGATTGGTTAGATTAAATTTTGTTAAATATATTTGTATATCACTCATCTATAATGTTCAGATTAGTATTTATTCAGTGTTCTTAGTCTAAGTATATGAATATTCTATGTTTGAACGCCCAAAATCATGATATTAATATCATTATTATGCTCTTATCTTTATTATTATTATATTTATATTGTTGTTTTTTCATATTTGTTATTATTATCACCAACGATTTATATTATTTTATGCCGTATATAAGCTATGTAATTTGCGATTTCCTGTATCACAGTAAACATGCACTAGCTGTGTTCGGTGTGATCAAATTGTGTAAACTCAACACACACACATCACACACACACCACACACACACACACACCACACACACGCACACACACGCACACACGCTTAAACATACACGCATACATGCATGCATGCATGCATACATACATGCATGTATATACATGCACATGTATAAGGTCGATGTCTGCGTTTTATTATATTTTATTTAATTTTAAAGAAATCACAGACAAAAATATGAAAGATATCTCAGTAAAAGAAGATGAGTTCGGAAGCAAACACGGTCATAAGTTATTTTGCAAATATTGGATGCCTATCCATGATCCGAATCGAAAACCCAAGTAACTAGATATAAAGTTACGATTATCATATAATAATAACAATAATAATAATAATAATAATAAAAATATAATTATTATTTTTTCTACTCTTAATTGGTTATCTTATTCACATGTTATTATATTCTCATTTTAAACAATGGTCCTTTATTGATCGCCGGTCGCAATTAATTTTCCTCCATTTTCATTGAGTTTTGCTTCCAAATTTAGCCTTCGTTGTAGCTAAATTTGGTTTAAAGTTTGGATGATTAATTTTTATGATGGATTATTATTCGATCTGTTTATCATTTAACTTTGGATTGTACGTTCTCTTTTCTGCGTAATTTCAACTTACGTTTAATTGTGATTAGATCAAAATGCAATGCTTCAATGACAAGTTATTGAGAATATAGCAAAAAACTAACAAGGAAAATTTTAAATGGCGTGAATAAGAAAAAAATTAGGTGAAGTGTTTTAGTTTTATTATGCGTTAATAATATAAATAATGTTGAATATACATGAATATTATTTATATAAATTAATATTGTTTGTTTCTTGCTTGAATATTCAACTCTCGCAATGTTTTTTAAATTGTTTTTTTTTTTTTTTTATTTTCAAACACTTTACTTTCAAAATCTCTGAGACAGATGGTACTTTTCAAAATTTTCTCATGCATTTGATATTTTTAGCACACGGAACAACTGTGGGAGCACTGCCAACGTTTTGATGAGTTGGCCACCAAGCTCGCTCAGAATAATAATTACGTCTTCGCACACGATCACGGTAATGTTAAGTCACTCATTTTATTTTTATTTAATAATTATTATAAGCCATAAAAAAGACAAGCATAGTGTTGTGCTGATTATTTGTCAGTTAAACAAGTTAAATAGAAATAGAGCTTCGTTTATGAAAATTTAATTTTTGTTGAAAAGCTGGACACGGTAAAAGTGAAGGAGAAAGATTGTACATAAAGGATTTCTCAATTTTTGTTGATGATGTCATTGACCACGTTGGGAAGATTAGAAAAGATTATGTGGATATTCCTTGTGTTATCCTCGGGTATTCTTTGGTTAGATTGATTGTCTTTTCTTCAAACAAAAATCAGAATAATCAAAATATTAAATGATGGAGAAAATTGAAATTTTGGCTGTCACGTCGTCATGCACAATAGCTCTCATTCTAGAAAATCTAAATTAGAATTTTATTCTTTTTGGATAGACATGTATGTATCAGTAAACAGTATACACACATCTTAGAAAGTCAAATAATTGACAAATGGCAAGAGATGAACTCAGGAGCGGATCTTGATAATGGGGAGAAAAGTTTAACGTAGTAGGGGCTATTGACACAAATTTGTTTCAGCAATCTGTAGATTGAAAAAAAGATGAGAGACGATTACGATGATGATTATTAACTGAGCAAACTGAAAACAAAGTTGAGATGTTTTTACTTTTTGTCGTAAATAATGGTGCTGAGCTCAAAAAAATTGTGAATAAAAAGAAACAATAAGGTTGACCATAACAAATTTGAAAGTTGATTTGAAAGATTTAAAGGAATTGATTGAATGTATTTCAATCAATCAATCAATCAACCAGTCAGTCAGTCAGTCAGTCAGTCAGTCAGTCAGTCAGTCAGTCAGTCAGTCAGTCAGTCAGTCAGTCAGTCAGTCAGTCAGTCAGTCAGTCAGTCAGTCAGTCAGTCAGTCAGTCAGTCAGTCAGTCAGTCAGTCAGTCAGTCAGTCAGTCAGTCAGTCAGTCAGTCAGTCAGTCAGTCAGTCAGTCAGTCAGTCAGTCAGTCAGTCAGTCAGTCAGTCAGTCAGTCAGTCAGTCAGTCAGTCAGTCAGCCAGCCAGCCAGCCAGCCAACCAATCAATCAATCAATCATTCAATCAATCAATCAATTTTTTTGTAAAGCGCTATTTCCGCAATGCTCAACAGTGCTCCTCAGTAAATTTTGCAAACAGATAGGTCTTGAGATCCACTCGGAACTTCGTAAGTGATGGAGAAGTAGTTATAGGAGGAGGTAGGAAGGAAGTAGGAAGAAAGTCTCTTCCAAAGAAAAGAACCAGAAAAAACGAACGCAGATTTAGCACAATAGTTCAGAAAAAGTGAGAACAAGAGGACGATCGTAAACCGGGCGTTTAGATTTATCTACTTAGGAAATAATTTAGATTGAGACTTATACAGTTATGTGCAAATTTTAAAAATTATTTCATAATTTATAGGCAGCTAGTGCTAAAGAACAAGATGTGAAGATATATGAGGAAACTTAAAGGCACGAGCAACCAGACGAGCAGCAGAGTTGAAAGCTTTACTTAAGGGATAGATTGTAGAATCAGGAAGACCATAGTAGAGCGAGTTACAATAATCAATCCTAGATAAAACTAAAGAAGTATTGATAACAAGAAGTTTTGGTTCAAATAACAAGAAATTGTAGTAGAAGGCAAGTTAAGATGTTTTTAATAGGAGCTTGGGCGAACTTGGGTAAACAAGTTAAGATGTTTTTAATAGGAGCTTGGGTGAACTTGGGTGAACAAGTTAAGATGTTTTTAATAGGAGCTTGGGTGAACTTATTTATCTTTAATCTTATTTTAACTATCATTTTGACAGGAAGGAGTAATTTCCATATCGGCAGCACTGTAGGCTCCTGACGTTGTCAATGGACTTGTGCTGATTGCTCCTGCTACACTCATTGGTGGTCTTTCATCGAAACTCACGGTAAATAAATTTTTGTAACAAAAATTATTTTATTGAACTGATCTCTTTAGAGGGTATATTAATATGAAAAATGTCAAGTTGCTGGTTATCATAGTTTAAATATTTGCTCGAGTTTCAGAAAGCGGATCCTTTCATAAAATTAACAAACTTTACTTATAAAATTATCAAATTTCTGATCAACAAAAGGCTTTACAATAAAAATTCAAACCGAAAAGTTTCTTGTTCATTATTTAAATAATTTGTTGTTTGAAGTTTGATAAAATGTTTTTATCAGATATGTGTATATATGATATTTTATTTGCTCGTCTTAATTGAATTCAGGTAGCAGTGAATTTAAAGATTACAATTTGCCTAATCATTGCCATATAAATAAAAATCTTTGCGATGTTTCAGCTTATATTTAATTTTTATAACTCACAAAACAAACTTTGTTCATATACATACATTTGCATTTTTAGTAAAGATACGTTACAAGTATATTCAACCGTTTTTTAGTGATTGTTCTGTTAATATTTATTAATTTCTGACTTTCTTGGTCACGCTGAATTTTTCAATAAGTCCTCATTCCCGAATTGCAAAGCTAAATCCCGATAAATTGACAAAAAATAAAGAAGAAGTAAGAAAAATATAAGATTTTTGCTTTCATTCTATTTTACAGCTGTACAAAATAAAGTAGAGCGACGCTTACAAATTTTTATTGCTTACCGTCTGTACAAAGGACTGCTATGGAATGGGTCACTTACTTTTGTAGGTTGTTTTTGTCGACAAGGGTAGCAGCTTTTTACAACAAACTTGATCTCTAACTCAATCGTCGTAGAAATATGATGCACTGCTTTAAGACTAAAATCGTCTTTCTTCAGATTTTCTTTCAGTTTGTTTTCAAACTTTGTAACGCTTAGAGTTTGGAATCTAACCCTTCTTATAAAGTTCGAGTTGGAATCGTTCAAAGATCTAATGATAGCGATCTGGTCTGTTCGGGTTTGGTTCAATTCAATGCTCCGTCTGCCGTTCATCAGTTTTTCCAAATCTCTCTCGATCTAACTGTCGTCATTTCTTCAATATAATTGCTAAAACCTAATTAAAATCTAATAACAACAATTTCACTATAACAATATAACATTATTCGGTCAAATTTAAAACAGCATTCTCGATTTGGTTTGGCACAGTCAGCGATGTGCATTTTTTGTAGAGACGTCCCAATTGCAAAATTTACACAACACAAACTTATAAACTCGGTTTGTACCCACCTGTTTCAAAGTTTTGGTTCGGTTGGTCTAACTAAGGTTTGGGTTCAAGTTCAGTTTTAAGTAGAATTCGAGTTTGGTTTGTTTAGATTTATTGCTCCCATTTTATATTACATTATATATATATATATATATATATATATATATATATATATAACATGTGATTTACAGCGTAAAAAGTACAAAGATGATGATCTGATTTTCCACAGCAAGCTAACCAACAGGTAATTTATTATTTATGTTTTTTTTAGATTTATTAACGCACACCTACATATACACATACACATACAAACACGCATGCATGTTCATATTAATTTTATTTTAAAAACATTTCTATTGTTAAGCGCCAAAAATCTGAACAGTCATGCTGAATGTTTCAAACACAGTGTCATTATAAAGCATATTTGCGTGCAGGGGCGTTATTTTAGATTAGAAATTAAAAAGGGTGATTTGTTATTATTTCAGGTAAGAAAAAGTAGAGGAGAAGTCAGTGGTCCACATATACAAGAATAACTCAACGATTGTCTATGGCTCAGTTTTTCCCACATTATCTGGAATCATGAGGAAAATTATTAACTAAATGCATCTACTTAGAAATTGAAACGTTTATGGTTGATATATTTTTATTTTTGTAGTCGGTTTATATTTTTAATTCTGTTTCAAAAACTTTCTATTTAAAAAATATTTTTATAGATTTTTGGGATAATCAAATCAAATTAAAAGATGCTTGGCTCTGTTAATGCATCATGCTTTCCTCTAAATAAGCTTTGTGTTAAATTGAGATTGTGGAACTTCAAAACAACTCTAAAAATTTTTTTGAACTTTATTCGAAGCCTGAGACTAGACTGGCTGATTCATCATTAATTTTATGTTCTCTGTTGTTTTTGTTAGATCTCCACAACCAAAAAAACTTAATTACGTGTGTCTGTACACGTATTTCTGATAAAGTATAATGTATGTGCATGTGTTTGAACGTATGTGTAGATATATCTGTTTTCCATTTGCGAAAATGATAATGTCGTGACTGCTTGAGAAAAAAACATAACCCCACGGCGTGTCCTGTGTTATGTAAGAATATTCATATGATTCACTAAACGTCTTATATTTTCTGCTTAAAATATGAAAATAATTAAATATACACACACAAACACAAACACACACACACACACACATATATATATATATACATACTATAGATATATATGAGGAATTTGGATAACAACAGTTTTATTAAATTTTCATGATGAACTTGGATAATAACTTTATTTTCAATAAATTGAACTATTTCCAGAAAATTCTAGAAATGAAAATTGAAAAGACAAACTTTAAATGAATTAATGCCATTAGAATTCCTACAATACTGAATATATATATGTATATATATAAAATTCAATATATATATATATATATATATAATAATAATACATCAATATATATATATATATATATATATATATATATATATATATTTAAATATTCTATAATTTCTACCGAATGTTTGGCGTTAATATGTTTGTAGTTAACGCCAAACATTTGGTAGAATTTATGGAATATTGTAAAAATTAAGGTCTATTACCAACACACACACACACACACACACACACACACACACACACACACACACACACACACACACACACACACACACACACACACACACACATATATATATATATATATATATATATTGTAAATTCTACCGAATGTTTGCGTTAATATGTTTGTAGTTCGTTTTTTCGATTTTTCTCACCAATTTATTAAAATTCAAAATAAACTTATTTTCCGAATTTATGCGGCAAATAAGAATTGAAAAAAAGTT